AAAAAAATAATCTGACTTAAACATTGTAGCGAGCTTGTAGCTGTCATAGCAAAAGATTGATTTTTATTCCAGGAGAAATAAATGAATAGATGCTTGTTCTTATGTAACACTTCAGTGTGAAAAACCTGAGGTAGGAAAGGAACTAATAATATTGGAGGGTTTTTTCATCTACTTATAAATATATTTTTATTTTTAAGGGTGATATTTTTATTGAGATATTCACACACCAGTGTAATTTTCACCCGTGTAATATATACAATCCAGTGGTGGTTAGTATATTCACAGAGTTATGCAACCTTTACCACAGTCTATGTTAGAACATTTTCATCCATCACCCCCGAAAGAAGCCCTGCATTCACGGGCAGTCACTTCCCAAATTGTGTAACACCTCCCCCCACAACAGTCACTACTATACTTTTTGCCTCTTCACATTTGCCTATCCTGGACGTTTCATGTCTGTGGAATCAGGCAGTATGTGGCCTTTTGTGTTTGTCTTCCTTCACTTCTCCTACTGTTTTCTAGGTTCATCTGTGAATCAATACTTCACTACTTTTTATGGCTGAATAATGTTCCATCATATGGATAGATTACATGTTTTCTGTACCAATGTGTCAGTTGCTGAGCATTTGGGGTTTTGACTGTCTTATGAGTAATGTCGCTCTGAACATTCATAGAAGTTTTTATGTGAATACGTGTTTTAATTTCTCCTGGTTAAATGCCTCGATGTGGAATTGCTGGCTTATATGGTAACTCTGTGTTTAACCATTCGAGGAACTGCCCAGAATTGTTTTCCACAGCAACTGCACTGTTTTGCATTTACACCAGCAGTGCATGAGGGTCCCAGATTCCTCACATCCTTGTCAACACTTGTCACTTTCTGTCTTTTGATTATAGCCCCACTAGTGTGTGTAAAGTGGTATTTCATTGTAGTTTTGATTTCTGGTTTCCTGACCGCTAATGATGTTAGACATCTTTCTATGTGCTTATTGGCTGTTTGCATATCTTTCTTTGAGAAAAGGCTATTTAGATCTTTTCCTGTTTTCAAATTGAGTTCTTTTTATTGTTGAGTTTTGAGAGTTCTTTATATATTCTTAAATCTTTTGAAATTTCTTATTTTATGGCATCTTTGATCTTTAACATATCCTGTAACTCTCTAATATGGGCACCCCATTCTCCCGCCTCACTGGGTCCTTCAGGCAGTGTTTACCATCCATCTACTATGTGGAAGATACTGTGCTCTGCATTTTCAAGTATATAAAATGAATTAAATGTCCCCTGCTTCAAGGAGCACAAAACCAAGTAGGAAGGGAAGTATCATAGGGATAAATTTCTGTGGGTATTCAGAAGTGATGACTTTTAGATTGAGCAGTCAAGGAAGACAACCTGAAGGAGGAGGCATTTTAAGTGGCCTTTGCTGATTGCATAGAATTTAAGTACAAAAGATCAGAGGAAGAAACTGAGCAAAGGCCTTGGGGTTAGATGGTGAGATTTCTGAGCTGTGGTATCTAGTCTGGTTTAACCTCTAGGGCTGACACTTTGAGAGCTTACAAAGGGGTATACTAGGAACAAAGACTGGGAAGGCCATGGGGCCACCTGTTGGGTATGAATGCAGAAGCAGCCTGGAGATTATTTCATCAGTGACCGTTTGAGGTCCTGCTGGGTTGACATAGCCAGAATGCTGCCATGGAAGACTGAGTTTACAGAAATCTGTAGGATGATGGGGGTAGGGGGGTGTCACTAAAAGCAGCACTGCTGTGTTTCTGGCTTGGGAATGGAGAAGTGCTTTAGAGGCCCAGAAGGCCTGTAGTTTAGGCAAAGCCGTAGAGGGAAGTGTGTGCCCATATTCACCTCGCCCTCAATACAGTGACAGTATCCTGCCAGAGTCCTGATCCCCAGACTATATGTTCTCTTCAGTTTTTCTAAAATAATTTTAACCTTCCTTTGCCACCTAGACCATAATAAAAGCAAATCCCAGTTTGTAATGCAAGATGTTGCTCTAGGGTCCTTGAGTGGAGGCCCCAAAATGAATGATGGTACATAACTGAAAAACCCTATTTCTATACTTGTAACTGTGAATTTCTTCCCTTCTATCCCTGGTTTCTTTGCTCTGACTGTGTGTGGGCCTTTCACAGTGTTACGAGGGGATGTCACTCTGATGGGCAGAGGCCATGGCTTCTCGCTTATGGTAAACCATTCACTCTGTTAACCTGAGCAGCTCCCTCCATGTCTAGGGGCACAGTTTTCTCTGTCCAATGAGGGAATTCAAGTGTCCAGGGCCCCTTCCAGCACTAACAACATGCATGTCCCTTGTCTGTAGGGGATTTGGTATAATTTGTCCTAGCCCTTAGGGGAAAAGAACCACCTGTGGTTCCTCTGTGGGTAGTTTACCTATCAGGTTAGAAATCCCAGTGTTTCCAAAGGATTCTTGTGGACTTTCTTTTTTCTATGTCAGACACAAGCGACTCGGTCTTAAAGATAAGCAGGGCATCTACTTGAAGAGCTTCAACTGCGAACAAGCACAAACAAGCTTATATTACAATGGAAATTGGGGAGTACGGTGGGAGTGTTGTTCTAACTCAAGGAGTTTTGCCTTTTGCATAGCAGCGAGCGTATGCTCATGTTGTAATGAGCAACTCTTCTTTTTTTGGAGTGATTTGAATTTGTTGCTGTGGCGGCAGGTTTCTATGGCAACAGCTGTTGCTACACATCTGGCATCTGATAAATGGTTCCCAAAGCCCGGGGGTCCACACAGAGCCCAAGTGCTCCTCATCTCCGTTGAACCTGCCAAAGATGTGGAGAAACACAGGGAGGAGGGCATGGTGGCTCTGTGCCATGCTGATGAGGCTTGATTTGCAATTGCCAAGTTCCTGGGGGTATCATCAGGATTCCTCCAAAAGTTAGCTGAGCTACTGACACTTTACATTGGAAATGTCCTCTCCCTTTTCTGTGGAGGTGGAGGGTACAAGAGAGGGGAGCATATTTGAAAAGAATATTTTCTGATTTATCACAATATAAATATTACCATGGCTTTTTATTTGCTTGCATTTTTTTTTAGGTTTATTTATTTATTTGAGGAAGAATGGGCAGAGGGAGAGAGAGTCTTAAGCAGACTCTGAGCTGAGTGTGGAGCCCACATGGGGCTCGATCCTATGGCCCTGAGATCACAACCTGTGCCCAAACCAAGAGTCGGATGCTTAACCAACTGTGCCACCCTGGAGCCCCTGTTTGCTTGCTTTTTTAAACCAAAAATTCATAAATAGGAAGTAGAGGACAACTAAAAATTCTACTGAATGTCCGAGTGTGACAGGCCAGCATATGGCCTGTTTTTAGGTATTTCATTTAAAATGGAAAGTTCCAGTTTGCTTTGGGGCCAAAATCTCTAAAAGAAATCCTGCCTAGAGGTGTATTATGGGGTCACTGTATATTTGCTAGTTTATATCTTGCTGACTAAATTGGCAAAAGTTTTATTTTTCCTGGTAAACATTCAGGAGGCTTTTCCCTCACTCCTCTCCCTAACAAAATCATATTTGTCTTATGTGTATGAAGGAAACGACTGTTAAAACTGTCCACACATCTGTGATGATATGAAAATTAGTGGTGGCAAACAAAGATTTCCTTTCTTAGGTACCACAGGGTCTCAGATGAAGTTGACTTTACCCTAATATTTCTTTCAAATTGTGACCAAGTGAAAACAAAATTGGCCATGCCTTAGAGGCCAGTATGAATGAATAGTAACATGACAAAAGGGTTATTATTTGTGAAAAACTTAGGTACCCCTCATATGACTTAGAAAACTAGAAGTTTTCTCTTCAAGTATATATTATTCTTATTTATAAATTTTAGGTATAAAACATTTATTATAATAAAGGGTTATGTTTATTTTAGTTAATAATGAAGCACAAAGTTATTACTTAGTACAAAATCTTTTTTTTTTTTAAAGGTTTAATTTATTTATTTGACAGAGATCACAAGTAGGCAGAGAGGCAGGCAGAGAGAGAGAGAGAGCGGAGGAAGCAGGCTCCCTGCTGAGCAGAGAGCCCGATGTGGGACTTGATCCCAGGACCCTGGAATCATGACCTGAGCCGAAGGCAGAGGCTTTAACCCACTGAGCCACCCAGGCATCCCAGTACAAAATCTTTTTAATTACAGGAATGAAAAGCTCCAAGATGTTGAATCAGATCACAATGTGGATTCTAATTTGAGTGTTTAACTTTGAAAGTGTTTGAGAACTGCACGTGTGTATTAAGCTCATGGCAAATTATATGCAGATACTTTGTGCTGATAATAGTAAAAAATATATATATTGAATGTGCCATTTTTAGTGTGCTGTAAGAATGAAATGTTTATTTTTCATTAAGCAGTGTGTTTTCATTTCTCTTAACATTTTGGGCAAATATGTGAATTATTAACCCATAAATTTTCCTCATTCTTAAAAAAAATAACATACCAAAATTGTAATAAAAATGTAACAGGCAAGAAAAGTGAGTTTCTAGTCGTGATCTAATGAAGCCTGTGTTAGGTCATTCTCTTCTAGGTATAGAGTCAATACCCACACATCAAAAGATCTTTGTTGTTTTAAATTAACTTTTGAGATGGTTTGTGGTCAGTACTTTTACCCATCTGTTACTTCATTGCAACTTTAAATTTTAAACTCTACCCTAAAGAGTTGGTGAAGACGTGGTAATTGTGTGTCACGATGGAGGTGTTAGCAAATCAGCACGGTGTACACCCTAACCACGCACAGTGCCGTATATCCCTTACATCTCAGTAAAGCTGGGGGAGGGGAGGGCATTATTGTGTAGAAAACCACGTTTGTTTAAAATGTCCTGTGCTTGGCAGTTCACCTCGTGCTCAGGCCATGTTCCGAGAATGGCAGGCCGCCCGTTCTATTGCCAAAACTTTCCACAGGGAGTAGTTTTGCAAGGGGTGGGCGGGCAAGCGGCGCACCGAGGTGGGGGCGTTTCACCTCCTTGGTGACGACATCATCTCTCTTTGCGTAGGTGAAGCTGCTCTCAGGGGAGAACCCAGGATGCAGACCCTCCCTGTGGCGTCTGCCCTCACCAGTCACCGCACAGGCCCTCCGCCCATCAGTCCCAGCAAGCGGAAGTTCAGCATGGAGCAAGGGGACGACGACCTCGACTGTGAAAACGACCATGCTTCTAAGATGAGTCGCATCTTCAACCCCCATCTGTGAGTTCCTTCTTTCTGAAGTGAAGGCGTTCTGGTGGTGGCTTCCGTGTGCTCTGTGCTGGGGCCCTGTGCTCTTGCAACTTCATGCCAGTTGTTAAGTGAAAGAAAGAACAGTGCTTACCTGCCAGGCGGGAGATTAACTGTTTTTAATAACTTGAGAGATGACATCTTCTTTCCTTCCAAATTATTTGTATGACTGTGTGTGTGTATGTGTGTGCCCCATGGATGTTAGCTTTCTCTTCCAGCTTCTGAGCAGTGGTTGTCCGGAGACTGCCTTTTCTTGCCTGTGTCACTGATGGGTGTTAGGAGAATACATCTTTGGTGAATGTCTTACGGGCCAGGAAATGGAAGGAAAGGTTAGCCCCTGAGCAGACATATGTAAAATGTTTTGCTTAGGAGTCTAGGCTTGTACACATTAAGAAGTACAGTAGCGGGGCACCTGGGTGGCTCAGTCGGTTAAGCGTCTGCCTTCAGCTCAGGTTGTGATCTCAGGGTCCTGGGATCAGGCCCCACGTCGGGCTCTCTGCTTAATGGGGAGTCTGCTCCTTCCTTTCTCTCTGCCTCTGCCCCCCTCTCATGCTTGCTCTCTCTCTCACTTTCTCTCTCTCTCTCAAAATAAATAAATCTTTTTTAAAAAAAGTACAGTAGCGCCCCCCCCTTATCCGAGGGGTATATGTTCTAAGACTCCCAGCGGATACCTGATCCACAGAGAGTACCAAACCCTATATAAGCTGTGTGCTTTCCTAGACATAGATACCTGTGAGAAAGTTTAATTTATAAATTAGGCACGGTAAGAGATTAACAACAACAATAGTAAAATAGAATGATTATAATCATATACTATAATAATAGTTATGTGAATGTGGTCTTTCTCTCAGAGTATCTGTTGTACTGTATTCAGCCTTCTTCTTGTGGTGGTGTGAGATCGTAAAATGTCTGTGTGATGCCGGGAGGTGAATGACAGAGGCATTGGGATGGAGCATTCAGCTGCTCTTGGCTAGAAGGAGAATCATTTGCTTCCAGGCCACAGCTGATTGTGGAAAGAAAACTGCAGAAAAGCAGGGGGATGATTGAATTAATTTTCACCTTGTGTATATTCAGGGTATAAACTTGAGACCTTCCTAAGTGGGAAAGATGGTTTTTTATGTTTACGATAAGGTGCTGCTCATCACTTCTGGTATGTGAACCTGTTGTAGCCGTTAGAGCACTCGGCTTGGGGCTGGTCCTCCCTCTGCCACCAGCATTCTCTACAATCATGACATGAGTTGCTCCAACTCTCTGGCCTCAGTTTCCTTATTTGTGAAACAGAGGAGTTGAAATGAAAGTTTTCTGAATCCATACAGCATCCCAACGTTTACATTAGGAAAATAGCTTGCTTCTGTGCACCTTGTTCCGGCTTCCCCTTTGCACTCTCTTCTGAACACTCACGCCCCACAAAGGGAGTGGAATGCCTTTTCCCGTGTTCTCAGCGCTAGGAGACAGCCAGCCAGCTGCCCGGAGGGTCTGCTCTGGCAACTGTGCAGCGAGTCGGTATTGTCGGAGCGGGGGGAGTTTATCAGAGGGGGTGAGATAGCTCTGATGATTAGAAGGTGTAGCTTTGTAGATTCAGGTTAAAAGATCCTACTCTTCTTCCCCTCCCCGGGCAGGAAGTGATGTTTCGTAATTATTCACAATGCTTGGCTTCCCCAGTTCTGATTTCTGAGGATGCTGCTGCTTCTGGCAGGAGCGTGACTGCTCAGAGAGTTCCTGTTTTCTCATTGGCGGAGACCCTGCGTAGGGAGAGGCCGCCGCCAAGGCCAGCAGCCCGGTGCTGCCTCAGCGCCCCAGTCCCGAGCATTCCGTGCATTCCAGCCCGCTTGGACTGTTGTGTTCAGTCATAAGACATACTGACAGAGGTATTTATCCTCAGATAAATCACGGTAGTGTTAGTCAGAGGCTGAGCCTGCAGTCTGGAGCCCTGGAATGTGCTACAATCAGGAATCCAGCAACAAGGCACTGCAAAACAGTGAGCTCTCCCAAATAGGGAGGGGCTCGTCATGTCGTTCTGGGCGCTCAACTGCTTGTTCATTCTCTTGTTACGAGCAGTTTCTTCTCCTCTGCCTCCTCTTTCCTGAAACCCAATTAGGAGACCGTTGGTCTTTTTCTTTTTGGAAGCAAAGGGGAGGTAGCCCTGAAACTGTGTGTTTTGTGAGCAGACATGCCTTGGTTTAAATAGGTATTCAGCCACTTACTGCACCTGGGCCCACTGTGCTTCTTTGTAAACTGGCAGTGATACTAGCTCAGGAGAGGCCTGTCAGGAGCACGAGAGTCGGCATGTGCCGGGAGTTCGGTGCAGTTTGGTACTCATCTGATGGTAGTTATTACTTTTATTGTTGTTAAGTCCCTTATTCTGATATTGATAACAATGATAAAGAATAACAATACTATTATGCTGAATTTAATGCCCGAGTGTGTCTGAGTTGCACTCAGAATGTCTGGACTCAAATTTCAGCTTCTTTATCTTTTGGTGGAAGTAATCATAGTTCTGTCATCATAGGATGATTGTAATGCCTATTGCAGTGCCTGGCGTCTAGATGGTAAACACTCAGGCAAAGTCATCATTAATATTATTATTATAGTGTTAAAACAGAAAATGAGGTGTGCATGGGTGGTTCAGTTGGTTATCTGCCTTCAGCTCAGGTCATGATCCCAGGGTCCTGGGATCGAGCCCCATGTTAGGTTTTCTGCTCAGTGGGGAGTCTGTTTCTCCCTCTCCCTCTTCCTGCCTCTCCCCTGCATGCGCTCTCTCTGTCAAATAAATAAATAAATTCTTAAAAAAAAAAAACCTAACAAAAGAAAATGATTTTGTAACTCCTTGGGTCGTTGCAAATATGATCTTAAAGTACAGATGACTATAAATTATTCATACTATGTTATAACAAGGACACTATAAATAATTTAAAGTGTAAATAATAGAAATGGAATTGCTGGGTTTCATGTGCATCTCACAATTGACATCATCACACAGAGTTTTAGGCAAATAGAGCAGCGGCCCCCTGGGCCACACTGTTTGGACTTCTAGGTGATCAGTGTGTGGTTTGTTCATTCTTCTTCTTCTTCTTCTTCTACTACTTCTTCTTCTTCTTCTTCTTCTTTTAAGATTTTATTTATTTATTTATGTGACAGACAGAGATCACATAATAGGCAGAGAAGCAGGCACAGAGAGAGAGAGAGAGAGGAAGCAGGCTCCCTGCTGAGCAGAGAGCCTGATGAGGGGCTCCATCCCAGGACCCTGAGATCATGACCTGAGCTGAAGGCAGAGGCTTAACCCACTGAGCCACCCAGGTGCCCCTGTTCATTCTTTTGTCACTGTTCTCCTGTGATGATTATTTGTTTCAGTAAGGGTAACAGTGTTTCTAATTGTATCTTCTAGGAGTGGAATTACAGATTTTATAGGCAAATTGGAAAGATGCTGCATCTCTCTTCATGTTGTACTTACCTTTGTTGGATTTGAGGGAACATTTCCTCTTTGAGCTATAAGGTGTTCCCTCCTTTTTATTTGATATGTCTAAGGAGTTTTTTTAAAATAATAAATTACAAATTGATATTTCTTTGGAAAAAATGGCCCAGTATATTTGTCTCTTTTTAAGGAAATTACAAAATGATTTTTTGCTTTTATCTTCTTAGAACATGTTCATGTTGTATAGTAAAAATGTGTTTTGTTTATCTTATCACTGAAGAAATCACAATAATTCTGGGCATGGACTGTTGTTGAAAAACAGTTTTGACAACTAAGAGAGTTTTAAAGATGCATGCCTTGGCTGCATTTCATTATAATCATCATATTGAGATACTTTCCAGTAGAGAGGAGGAGAGGTTAGGTATCTCCAAGCCAGAATAGGAAGCTCCAGACAGTGACTAAATTTCATCTGACTTAATTCAGGGAGGAGGAAGACAAAGAAGAGAGGTTTCCTTAGTGATTTCTCCAGAACTTGGAAATTGAGAATTCCTGGCCTCTTATTCCAACTCTGTATAGCCTGGGTCATTTGAACTCTTCATTGACTTTCTTGATATGGTGACTCAGAGAAGTTGTTTTTTTTTTTTTTTTTTTTTAAGAAAAGTGTTAAGAACATGAATGTTTAATTTAGAAGTTGAAAGAAAGTGTGTCTCTTAGAAAGTGGATTAAGTAAGGTATGGGGGCATGGCTGTTGGGATTCCTCTCATGGAAATGTCAAAAAGTAATTTTTTTCTATGACCCTGGTATTCAGGTGTGATCTGCTAAGGAAGAGTTCTCTTACTGTATCCATGACCCATATGGGCTCATGGAGTGCTTCAGCTGGCTCCTATGTCCTTGTTACGGGCCTTTTTTTTTTTTTTTTTTAAGTACTTCTTATTTTCTGGCAGTCATAATCCTCCTCTTGTAACCTACCTGTGTCAGCCATGGAATCAACCATTTCTCCAGGGGACCCTGGTTCCTTTTTGTGGCTAATAGGATTTAGAAGCCAAAATCTGGGTGCTAAGTATTTTTATGCTGTCATTGCCTTTGTCTTTTTGTTGTTGTTGTTATTGTTATCCTAAGCTTTTTTAATTAAAAAAATTTTTTTATTGTTATGTTAAGTCACCATAAATACATCATTGGTTTTTGATGCAATGTTCCAAGATTCATTGTTTATGTACAATGCCCAGTGCTCCATGCAATATGTGCCCTCCTTAATCCCCACCACCAGGCTCACCCATCCCCCTGCGCCCTCCCCTCTAAAACCCTCAGTTTGTTTCTCGGAGTCCATAGTCTGTCATTGCCTTTAGATTTGAGTTGTTTAGTATTATAGACATTAGCTAGATGTGAAAATTCAAATTTAAAATTAAATAAAATTTAAAATTCAGTTCTGTTGCACTAGCCACATTTCATACGTGGTAGATATATTTCAAGCCCAGCAGCCACATGTGGCTAGTGGCTACTTTGTTGTACAGCACAGGTATAGAATAGTTCTACCATCTCAGAAAGTTCTGTCAGGGGAAAG